CAGAACCTAGAACCCTACAGACATGATTATTGCTCCCAAGTATCTTTATTCTGGTAGGAGGAGATAGACAATAAAATCAGATAATAAATGCTACACGGATAGATCATTAAAACAGGCTGAGCTGTGAAGAATGACTAGGTGTTTTCTGTGGTGTGTTTGGTCAGAATGGCCTTTCTGAGATGGGGCTGTGGAAGGAGGTATCTGAATTACAGGAAGGAACCACTAGGCAGTGACAGGGGCAGGGAAGGTGGTTCCAGGTAGAAGGAACAGCTACTGGGTTTCCATAGGTGGCTGGAATGCAGAGGGTGAGGGGAAACAAAGCTGGGCTCAGCTGTGTAGAGCTTGTTAAGCGCCTGTAAGGAGTTTGGATTTTATGCTAAGTTCCTTAGAGAGCCTTTGGAGGGAGAATGGATTGTGCGTGGCTCCGGTTGAAAGCAGCCAGTTAGGCTTCTGCAGTAGACAAGAGGAGGTGATTGTTGACAAGGGTGTTGATATGGTTTGGAGATAGGGCCAATGGAGCTTGGATCAGATGTAGAGAATGAGGGAAAGGAATCAAGAGAGGAAAGATCAGGACTTCAACTTGAGCCATGGTAGGCATGTGTTATTTAGTAGACATCCAAGGAAGGTGCCAAGTTGCTAGTTGACTTCGTGAGCCTGTCGTTCCATGAGGGACTGAAGGCTGAAGATTGTAGGTTGTATGTGGATAACTGCGTCTTAGGAGAAGGATGGATGAAACAATGCAAAAAATATTAACAATCAGGATTATAGACAATTTTAGTTTTCTTCTACTTTCCTCAGTGAAAATGTGTTCCTTTAAAAATCAAACAAAATCACACTACAGCTCAGGGGAAGAGGAGGAGAGACCTATGGAGTTCATGAAGGTGGGAGAAACCATGATGAGAGAAAGAAAAAAACTGCTCTGAGTGTTTCAGGCTGTGTCCGCTTTAAGGCTCAAGCTGCTTAGTGCATGGAGCAGGAGCCAGCAGAAGCCGCAGCTGTGCCCTTCAGATGGAGTTACTTGGAGGCGGCAGGGGAGAAGAGGGCCTTGGAGGCCCCCAGGACAGCAAGACCACTAATAGGGTTCCCATGGACGCATGCAGGAGTGAGGAGCCAGAACAGCTGAAAAAGGGGAGCCATTCAGAGGCTGATGAGTCATTGCAAGGGACCAGCACAGGGCCTGTCCTATGGGAAATGTTTGGAGCACAGGCAGTGGAGGAGACAGGCCCACTGGGAGTACACTGGGACACAGCAAGAACAGCTGACCTGCCCCCAATCAGTGCAGGACCACTCAGAGGAGACTGGTTGGGAATACAGAATTGCATGGGGTGCAATTTGTTGAAAAGACCCAGGCCCAGATCAGAGTTTCTACACAACCCAGGTGCATTGAGTCTTTGGAGAGTCAGAAGTACCTATAAGGTCAACCATTAAATCCTGAGCTGCACAAAAAACCTTCCCTAGGGAAACAGCAGCAAAGCAGTAATTTAGCTCAACCACACAGCTCAAGTAATGGTTCCCTCAGGAAGTTCCCCTGTTTTAGAAGTAAGCAAAGAGCACAAAATTGGTTCCGGCCCAGGCACAGCACCAGCACCTTGGGTCCTGCCAGGGGACGTGAGATCTGGAGCCAGGAACCGGACCCCCACCCACAACCACTCACACCGCCAACGTCTTGGGGCCTGCCTGGGGACCCGAGGCATGGAGAAGGGGACTGGATCCCCCTCCCACAACCAGGCAACACTGTGCCAGTGCCTCAGGGCCCACCACAGCCACCACAATAACCATGGCTACCGTGAAAGTGGTGAGATGCCACTACCACCACGCAGATGGTCTGCCAGCCACTGGAGTGCATTGACACAAGGAGTCGCCAGCAGAAATAAAGAAAAGAAGAGGACGTCCCTCCCCACAAAGCCCATTTCAGAGTGACAGAAGCAGCATGTGCTCTATGATAATATTGGAGGACCTGATCACACCTCTCAGCATTGGATAGATCATCTAGGCAACAAATCAACAGAATAACCATTCTTTCAGAAGTAGAGAAGAAATCAGAGGGGGCAGAGGGGAGGGAGACAGGGATGGGGAGAGATTGGACAAGGTGCATAAAGAATAATTATGATTTATAACAACATATATGCTAGTAATATTGATTTGATCAACATATCTCAATGTTCAACCCCAAAAATACGTATAATCAATTTTGATTCAATAAAAATAAATAAATAAATAAATATCAAACAAAATCAATTATTTCTTTCCCCAGGTCTGATAATATTTGAAGAATTTTTACAGAAACTAACAAAGTCATAGTATTTATAAAATCAGAATTTGGGGTAGAGATGTCAAAGTGGCTGTTTTGTTTTAATACTTTGCACCATGGTTATTATTTTGACTAAGAAGATGAGAATATTAGAGTCCAGTCTTGGTTCTGCCACTGAAATTACACCCCTATCAATTCATTTATTTCCATTCACTCAGCAAATACTGATTGAAAGCCTACCATGTGCCTGGCATTGTTCTAAGTGCAAAGGATATAGCAGTGATCAGAATCCACAAAATCAGAAGCTACCCTCAGGGAGCTATACATTCTAGAAGAGGAAGAGGAAGAAGTCCTCCCACCCCAAAAATAAAATAAATAGAAATAAATTTGGAAAGGGAAAATGCATACCTCATCTATCAGTTCCAAACTGAGCTGAGTCCTCAGGGTTCATTCTGTGTTTTCCAGTTGGTTCTCCCATTCTGCCCAGCAGTATTTTCACATTGTCCCTACTCTTAAAATTTGTCTCCTCTACAGACCTTTGTATTCCTGCCAATTTCTGTGTGGCTTCCCTGCAGATCGCTCGGATTCATTATGGCCAGAACCCAGCTCTGTATTGTTCCTCTCTGGGCTGGCCCTTCCCAGGGGCTCCATCTGGGGGATGGCAGCATCACAGACCTGTTGCTCAGAACAACAGGCTGCTGTCATCCCTGCTTGATCCCACTCTCACGCCCCACCCCTGCCCATTCAGTCACTTGCTGACTTCTGTCAATTCTGTGTCCTAAATCTTTTTCACATCCACCCATTTTTCTTTCTGTGCATACCACAGTAGCATACACCACCAGCTTCTCATTGCCTGTTCTAGCTGTGCCTCTCCTTGTGCTTTCCAGCACCCTGTCCCTCACTGCTCCTCACTCTCCACTTGCCTTGCTTCCAGTTTCACTTGGAAAGAGAAGCAGTCAGAAGTTCTCTTCTGTATTCTCCTCTCATGAGCTCTTTCAGCCTCATTGCTTCAGCTTCCTCCATTCCTGTGGAAGAACTGCCCACATCCCTCGTCCCTTCATAAGGCCAGCGCATCCTTTTGGAGCTCATTGCACCGCTTAACAAGGACCCTCTCCAGCCATTCTTCAATTTTTCCTGTCCTAACATTTTGCCTTTTCTAAACCATTCCCACAAGCATACAAAAATGGTATAATACCGCTTACCTGTAAGAGATACTAAAAGCCCTTTCTTAATCCCAGGGCCTCATGTATTTCTGCTCTTGCCAGTCATTCCCTTGCTGTTTGTCAAACACTCCAAACATGCTCCTGCCTCAGAGCCACTTGCTTGCCGCCTCCTTGTCTGCAGAGACCTCCTCCAGTATGTGCATGGCTCATTCCTGTGTTTCATTCAGGTCCCTGTTCAAACTCTACCTCCTCAGAGAAGCCTTTTGTGGCTGTTATACCCAGGATAGGCCTTCCCTCTCTCAAACCCTCCCCTTGTCCTGTTGCATTTCTCTTCCCAGCATGTGTTACCACTTAAATTGTATATGTATTTATTTACTATTTTCCCACCAAAACAAAGGCTCTGTGATGGCAGGGACATTGTCAACCCTGTTCACTGCTAAGTCCCAGTTACTAGAACCATATCCAACAGATTGAACATCGTTGAAAGTGTGATTAAAATAAAGGAGGTGTATCAGGCTTCATCTTCTAAGTAGAGGTGATTCTGGAGACTCAATGTCATTTTTTCTCTATGTGGACTTCAGTGGTGACAGCTTCATTTTAAATGGTTTCCCTGGTTTCCCTCATGGTGGAAAAGGACTTCAGTAGTTCCAAGCTTTGTATCTGCATCCTACACCAAGGGTTGGCAAACTTTTTCTGTAAAGAGCCAGATAGGAAATATTTTAGGCTCAGTGGGCCATATAGTCCTGTTGCAATGACTCAACTCCACTGCTGTGCTGTGAAAGCACCCATATACAAATTGTAAACAGATGAGTGTGGCCGTGTTCCAATAAAATTATTTTCAAAAGCAGGCAGCAGGCCAGATTTAGCCCAAGGCTGTGCTTTGCTCACCCCAACCCTACTAGTGTTTTTTCTAGTAGCTGTTTCAGAAGAATGAGGGGGCTTTGTTTTCCAAAGTTCCCCCAAACTCTCCCCTTTTAGCAAGTTGGCCTGAATTTTTTCTAATACCTGTTAGTGAACCAATTCCTGCAGTAAGTGGATGAGTCTGTCTCATGTATAGAATACGCATGGCCCACTCTGAAGCTACAGGTGACAGGAGCTTCCCAAAGCTCATGGTCTGCATAGGGTCAGGTGATTACAGAACAAAACTGTACCAATCAGGAAGGGAGCCAGGGGAATGGATGTTGGGTGGGTACCCAAATAAGGTTGATCACTGTGTGCTGCAGGATATGTTTGTGCAATTGTTGTCTGTCCTAGAATGTAAGCCCCCTGAGATCAGGCACCACAGTGTTTGGTTATTAGTAACCTCAGCTTGCACCCCGTACTGAGCTTCAGTTCATTAAATTGAAAGTGGCAGGAATCCTTTGCTTGTGTGGATTACTGTATTTTTGTTTGTATTCTAAGGATTTAATAACATAAGTGCATGTGAGCCTTTATCCATTTATGTGATCCTTTATGTGTCATTTATAAATGACAGGATAAAAATATCTTTTGGAAAATATTTCAGTTTGTTTCATTGTTTATTAAAACGTCTAGCTCTTAAGGGATTAAATTGAATTTTTTTCTTTTTTTCTTTTTTTATATTTAAGGTTCATAAAAAGGATTCTGGCTTTTGGCGAGATTTTGGCTTTGGAATGACTTGTCAATATCGATCAGATTTCCTGACCATTGGTAAGTATACCTTACATTTAAGGATAGGACTTCGCATACTTACTCTAGACCTTATGGCACTTTTCTAAAAGGTCTCAGATTTGAGTGTTTCCCTTTTGAATTATGAGTGTCTGTGGTTAGCTGAAAAGAAGAGTCTGGAGATATAAAAGGCAACGTGAGTTTATAATTAATGTCTCTGAGTAGCAAAAATGAGTCATAAAGATAAAAGTATAATATTTACTTGTTCCTTTAAAATCAAAATACCACTAATTTTTAAAAATACCTGTTTGACTTGCTACCCATATTTGCAGTTGTTTAGAGTTCTCTTATGAGAGATCTCTGTAACTTTACTGTAGTGCTCATGGCTTGTTACAGCTGGAAGTAATCTTGGATTATCTAGTCTAAGGACTTTATTTTTTTATTTAGAGATGAAACCCCCTTTGTTTATTGAACTGTTATGCAAAATCCAGTATTTTAGATGAAAAAAGAGCTGCTCTTTCTAGCTCTGATTGAAGTTGGAGTTGGGGACTTGGAGTTACTGGCTTAGTTGTCCATTCTTTCTTCTAAGTCCAAAGATGGCATATGAAGAATCCTATCGAATCTTTCCCCACCCCAGCTTTGGTTTTACCCAGCAAAAAATAAAGTATCAGAGAACAGTTTAATAAGGCAGGATAAAATCTAATCCTATATCTTCTGATTCATTTAGTGACTACCTTTCCACAGCATAGTAGAAGTCATAGAATAAATTTTATGTACATTCTCGGTCCATGTTACATTCGTTTTTTATAATCAGCCATCTGTTTTGAAAATCCCCTACTTTGTCTCTTTATCATTATAACACTTGAATTATGGAAAATCAGGAAATAATAATAAAAAGACTATTAAATGAAGCTAATGTCCTTTTCCCTTTCTTTCTTTTTTTTTCTTTTTTTTTTTCCTTTTAAACCGGTAAGGGTATCATAACCCTTGGCTTGGTGTCGTCTGCACCACGCTCAGCCAGTGAGTGCACCGGCCATCCCTATATAGGATCCGAACCCGCAGCCTCGGCGCTACCAGTGCCGCACTCTCCCAAGTGAGCCACGGGGCCGGCCCCCCTTTATTTCTTTCTTAATAAAATAGAAAGTTTTTACTATCCCTCAGGAAAAGATTTTTGTACATTTTTTTCAGCAGTATCTTGAATCATTAGAATTCCTTACCTCTTTTTTATATAACAATTTCATTGAGCTATAACTCAATCATAAAATTTACCAATTTAAAATGTATAATTCACCAAGTTGTACAGCTATCACCACAGTCAAATTTAGAACATTATCATCACCCCCAGAAGAAACCACATACCCATTAGCAGTCACTCCTTGTTTCCCACCATCCCCTTCCTCCTCAAACCTAGGCATCCACTAATCTACTTCCTATTGATTTGCCTCTTCTGGGCATTTAATATAAATGGGATTATACAATATGTGGTCTTTTATAACTGGCTTCTTTCACTCAGCTTGATGTTTTCAGGGTTCATCTGTGTTGTGACATGTATAGGTACTTCTTTGCTTTTTATAGCTGAATAATTTTCCATTATATGGTTTTACCACATTTTGTTTATCTGTCAGTTGATAGACATTTGGGTTGTTTCTACTTTTTGGCTATTATGAATCCTGCTTGCTATGAACATTTGTGTATAAGTTTTTGTGTGAAACATAGGTTTTTAATTCTCTTGCTATATACCTAGGAGTAAAATTGCTGGGTCATATATGTGTTTAACTTTTTGAAGAATTGCCACACTGTCTTCTAAAGTGGCTGCATTATTTTACATTCCCATCAGTAGTGTATGAGAGTTCCAATTTCTCTACATTCTTATTAATACATGTTATTATTTGTCTTTTTGTTTCTAGCCATTATAGTGGGTGTAAAGTGGTATTTTGTTGTGGTTTTTATTATAATTTTTCTGATGATTAGTTATGTTGAACATCTTTTCATGTGCTTTTTGGCCATTTCTTTATCTTCTTTAGCGAAATGTCTATTCAGATTCTTTGCCCATTTTTAATTGGGTTATTAGTGTTTGTTGGGGTTCTCGGATATATGCATTAATGATTTTCATCACATTGTGGAAGTTTCAGTTATTATTTCTTTGAATATTTATTTGCTCCTTTCTAATTGTTTTCTCTTTCTGATACTCTTAGCACAAGGGTACTTTTTAAAAATATTTGCAGAAAAATAGAATTAACAGATTATACAATCTTAACGTGAAATTTTTGAAGTACCGTCTTATATGTTGGTACATTTAATGATATCCCACATTTTTCTGAGTGTCCATTTCTCTTCATTCTTTTTTCCCTCTGTTTTTTGGATTGCAGAACCTCTGTTGATCTTTCTTTACATTCTTTGATTTTTTTGTTGTTGTTATTCAGATCTACTGTTGAGCTGCTCTAATGAATTTTTCATTTCAGTTATTGTACTTTTTAACTCCAAAATTTCCATTTGGTTTGGTTTTTTTATATATAATTTCTATCTCTTTATTAATATTCTCTATTTGGTGAGACATTGTCATCTTACCTTCTGTTACTTCTGTAAGCATGATTTCTTTTAATTCTTGGAACATATTTATAATGACTGCTTTGGAATCTTTGTCTGTTAAAGCTGACATCTGGGCCCTAACACAGGCAGTTCCTGTTGCATGCTTTTATTCTGATGTATGGATCACACCTTTCTGTTTCTTTGCATGCCTTGTTGTTTCTTTTTTGAAAACTGGACGTTTTAGGTAATATATTGTGGCAACTCTAGATACTGATTCCCCCACCTTCAGGGTTTGTTCTTGTTTATTTATTGACTTGGCTGGACTATTTTAGTAAATTCTTTCTATCCCCGCACCACCTCTGCCCCCTGGCAATATGTAGCCTCTGATGTCGTTCCTCAGGGTATGTGCAGAGTCATCCTGGGATGGCATTGGCTTTAGCAGGACTCTCTTTGTCTCTTTCCATACCTCATTGGTATCACACCCAACTGTTAGGCTCTGCTGATTGCTCACTAATTGCTGTCTTGTTTTAGACAATGCTCTGTGCCATAAATTGCTCCACAATCTGTCCGAATTAAATTGGGCCCTTTTGCAGGGATAGTTTTTGAGGCAAGTCTTTGAGGTTTGTTCAGACCCCAGGAGGAATCTTCTTAGGTGTCTCTTTCCCTGGTTCTCTCTGGTAAACTAGCTGGCCAACAGTTTAGCTTGCTGCTCTTGTAGATCTACCAGTTCCCTTTTAATTACTTACTACCCAAATCTCCATTATTTTCAAGAGGCTTGAACTTCTCTACACTCTGAATTTCTCTATATTGTTTCAAATAAAGTGAGTTCCTTTTGGAAGGTCTTGGAGCAGTTTATTCTTTTGGACTGCCTCTTCCCCTGGGAAAAATCTCTGAGCTTCTGATCTGGATCTGGGGCCTGGGACAGTGGCACACTTCTCATAAAGCAGAGTGACACCTCTGTAGGGAGCAGCAGTAGGGTTCCCAGGAATCTTGGCCTGCAGCATCTGGAGTAGCACCTCTGCCCTATGAGTGTGGGCTGGGTGAGAAAGGAAGCAGCAACTGTTGGGAATTTAGCCTCTTCCATTTGAAGCTTCTGTTCCTTTCTGTTTCCTCTCCTGATGGTTTTACCATTACATGTATGTCACATCTTTTGTAGTTGTCCCACAGTTCTTAGGTATTCTGTTCCTTTTTTTTTTTTTGCTTTGTTTTTCTGTTTTGGAAGTTTCCATTGTTATATCCTCTAGCTCAGGGTTTCTTTCTTCAGCCAGGTCCAGACTACTAATGAGCCCATCAAAAGCATTCATTTCTTTTACAGTGTTTTTGATCCCTTCTTAGAATTCCCATCTCTCTACTTACATTACCCATCTGGTCTTGCTTGTTATCTACTTTTTCCATTAGAGCCCTTAGCATATTAATCATAGCTGTTTTAAATTCCCAGCCTGATAATTTCAACATCCCTGCCGTATCTGAATCTGGGTCTGATGCTTGCTCTGTGTCTTCAAACTGTTTGTTTGTTTGGGGTTTTTGTTTGTTTGTTTTTGCCTTTTAATATGCCTTGTAATTTTTTTGTTGTAAGCTAAACTTCATGTACCGGGTAAAAGGAACTGCAGTAAATAGGCCTTTGGTGATATGGTATTTAAGGTGTGGAGGGAAGGGAAATGTTTCAGTCTTTTAGTCAGTCTATGCCCCTAGACTGTGAACTTCATACATGCTTCTCAGTCCCACTCCTCTCCCAGACAGGATAGCTAGAAGAGGCTGGAGTTGGGTATTTTCCTTCCCCCAGATCCTCAGGCTCTGATAAAACCCAGGAGGTTAGGCTCTGATTAGCTTCTCCTGGGCCGACCCCGTGGCGCACTTGGGAGAGTGCAGCGCTGGGAGCGCAGCGATGCTCCCGCCGCGGGTTCGGATCCTATATAGGGATGGCATGGCCATACCACCCTGAACGCGCCCGATCTCGTCTATATAGGGATGGCCGGTGCACTCACTGGCTGAGCGAGGAGCGGGGGCAACACCGAGGGTTGCGATCCCGTTGCCAGTCCCGGTCCGGTACGGGCACGACACTGAGGGTTGCGATCCGTTGCCAGTCACGAAAAAAGACAAAAAGACAAAGAAAAAAAAAAAAAATAGCTTCTCCTGAGGGCAGAGCTTGTTAATAAGAACAGAATGCTGTGGCATATTTAAAAATGGTAACTCCCCCACCCCCCCCACCCCCACTGGAAGCATTAGGGGATCTTTCTCTGATCTTCATTATGAGAACTCCTAGTGGTAAAACAAGAAAGTGTGGGAGTCCCAGTATGACTGGGTTCCCCTGGAGTTTTTAACTCTCAGACTTGTCTACGCTGAGCCTCCAATAATTTGTCCATTACACTTCAGGTTTTCCTATCCCAGTACTGGTTCCTGCAGAAATTTCTGTACCAGTAAGGTGTGATTCTTAGTTCTGGCTGTCTGTCTCTCCAGTTTTGGGGGCAGCATTTTGTCATCTGACATCACCTGTCTGAGTAGTAATCTAAGAGGAGTTGTTGATTTTTCAGTTTGTTCAACTTTTTACTTGTTAGGACAAAGTAATGACTTCCAAGCTCTTTATGTGCCAGACCAGAAACCAGGAGCTACCCGTTTATTTTAAGTATCTACACCATCTCTAATATTTGAAGAGCTTATTTGTATCTACAAGGAAGAAAAGCTGATATGTATTAGATGTAGCATTTAGTAAAGCTATGATTGTTTAAAGTAATACTTTTCATAGATCTCAGGATTATTCATACTGTGAATGTGAAATTAAGTGGGACAGAATTATTTGACAGGAGACATAATTTGGAAGCCTAACTTAATTAAAGAATTAATTTTTTCTGAGTTTAAGAGTCTATTTTAGAATTTTGAAGTTTACAAAGTGTTCTCAAATATTTAACCTCATTTTGATACTGTGAACAACTGACCTTGAGCTCCTAGAACCTAAATGTCAGCTTGTAACTGAACTTCCAAATGAGGAAGTCAGTCCTCTATGTCAGGTGTCTTTGTGCTGTGTTATGCCATCTCATTTGAAGCAGAGCATTTAAATCTTTGTAATGTCTGCCTGTGCTCTAGCTATCAGGCAGTTACTTATAATGTCAATTTTGATCCTGTAGGTGGATTTGACATGGAAGTAAAAGGCTGGGGTGGAGAAGATGTTCATCTTTACCGAAAGTACTTACATGGTGACCTTATTGTGATTCGGACTCCAGTTCCTGGTCTTTTTCACCTCTGGCATGAGAAACGCTGTGCTGATGAGCTGACCCCCGAACAGTACCGTATGTGCATCCAGTCCAAAGCCATGAATGAGGCCTCTCACTCTCACCTGGGAATGCTGGTCTTCAGGGAGGAAATAGAGACACATCTTCATAAACAGGCATATAAGACAAACAGTGAAGCCGTTGGTTAATGTAATCTGCAACACCTTACAGCCTGAACCACAAACCAGCACTATTTATTTAGCCTTAATTCCAATTCCAGATGCAGTGCCTCTTTCAGAGAAGACATGTTTATTTTTCATGTTCTTTCTGACATTTATTTTATTTTAACAGTTCAACCTGATATGAAAAGAAAAAACAAGTGTCTCAATGCAAAGCCTCTGTTTTGTGACAATACTGCACTATGGAATAATTGTCAAATTGAAATCTAATGTTTTTCGCAAAAGTTGTTCTGAGTTTCTACCTGGTACCCATGTTCTGACTGCATGTGGCATTACATGGTGTCTGGATTGCATCTGGGTAGAAGGATGGAAGTGCTGGGCTGATGGTGGGTCGGGAGCAGCATGGACCTACAGAGGGAACAGACTGTTAGGGACGTAGTGCATGGACAGGTATCTTCACCCACCATACCCCTAAGTCAGCCTGCTTGATTTTTAAATGAAGAGCTTTGGTTGATAGCTTGAAGAATTCTTGTTCACTGAAGCAGAGGATAATTAAATGGCACATCTGAAATCCCTAACCAATCAGGAGAAGGCAGAAATCAAAATCCCTTAATGTTGCTTAGGCCCCTGAATGTCTGTTTTTTTTTTTTTTTTTTTTTTTTTTTTTTTTTTTTTTTTTTTTTTTTTTTTTTT